CACTCAACTTACTCTCTTCACCCATATTGTTTTTTATTAAAGAATTAATCTCTCTGTAAACCCAAATTTATTACCTAAACTACCCTCTCAAACCCAATTCAAAATGTTAAGTTATCTTTACACCCATTCCCTTTATAAAATAACATCTGTAATTGAATTATTATTATTTTTTTTTAAAGAGGAGTCTTTGTCCCACCCCCTCTTCCCACTAGCATTTTCATGGCTACTTTTTTTCTTTCTGCTACCAAATCCAATCATTTGCCTTTTTTCTTTCTACTGATATGCATAAGCAACAAATCAAACAATTCATCCCCTTAAATTTATCAACAAGTAAGGAAGTTTATAATCTAAGAACAATGGTAAGAAGTTTCTCTTTGGAATTTTCCAATTACGAGGCATAGATATTTGAAAACATAGAAAACACTAAGATTTAAATACCAAAAAGACCCTGCAGTTAAAAGAAACCAGTTATCAACTTTTCCAACGGTAAGTAGTTAAACTTGCTCGTCTTGATTCGAGAATTACAGGAAGATTGTTGTAGCTAGTTCTCTTTTTCACATTACCAATTTTTCCACCGTGAGTTCTAAACTTAAAACATGATAGAAAATAAACTTTTTTTTTAAAAAAAAAAAAAGAAATTTCGACATATTTATCAAAGCATAACCTCTAAGCTTGAATTATCTAATCATAGCGAGAATAGAGTTTTCATATATTTACTCGAAAAATATAAAATTTCATCAATAGAAGTAGCATGTTAAAAGTATACAAGCTCTTAGCTAGAATTAGTGTAAATTTTTTATTCATTTACTAGAAGAATATATGTTGTAGTAGGGGCTGAACTCACCACATGTCAGGCATTAAATTGATTAAAAATATTGTGTGTTAAAGTGTTAAGGTCCTTGCAATTCTACAAGTCTGCAAGTCTGTACTAAAAGGTCCATTACTTATGAAGTGATAGGTAGCATTATAGGTAATAGTTACATTAATGCTAAATGGTGTTTTGGGGCTGTAGACAGACATCGGTAAAGAAAAACAATAAAAGGGATGGTAGAATAAACAATAAATGACAGTAGGATTTAATGAGTTTATTGATAAATTTGAGTTTTATTATTAATTTCATTTTGTACTTAATATTAATTATGTAATAGGATAAAATGAATAATTAATAATTTAAATTTAAATTAGGTGTAAAAAGAGGTTATACAGATTCAAATAATTTTTTTTTGTTTCTTTTTTCTTTTTGTCAATTTCCAAAAAGAAGAGTTTGCTTGAGTGACAATACAGCTGCAAACATAAAAGAACCCAAGAGGTTTGGCAGCTTAATTTCTTCTCCTCCTTCTCAGCGAAACCCCCAATCTCGTTTCTACTTACCTTCCCCACCGCAGAGCGCCTGCGATGACGACTGAGACAGAAGACGCCGTACGACGTCGCACAGCGGTTGCCGACTACCGCAAAAAGTTACTCCAGCACAAGGAGCTCGACTCCCGAGTCCGCGCAGGTCAGATTCACTCCCAAACCCTAATCCCCTTTTGCAGTTAACAAACCAAATTGTCCCAATTAGTAAGCTTTAATGTGCTCGCCCTTTTAGGGTTTCCATTCCGATTTTCAATTGAGCGATTCAGTTCTGATTTTGTTATCTAGTTTTTCAAATGTATTCCATTTCGCTTTTTTGGGGCTTTCTGTTATGTTATGGTTATAGTAACTGCGAAATTGAGATGCTTTGAAGAATTTGGTTGGGTCAAGAAATTGAATTTTTGCAATGGGATGGTGTGCAGTGAGAGAGAACTTGCGGTCTGCAAAGAAAGAATTTGGGAAAACTGAAGATGATTTGAAGTCCCTTCAAAGTGTTGGACAGATTATTGGTGAAGTTCTCAGGCCTCTTGATAACGAACGCCGTAAGTAATTTGTTTGCTTAATGCTTGCTTCATGGTCTAAAATTTGATAGTTGGAATCCTGTGAAATTGTAATTTTTTAGGGCTTATCGATGTGAGAACTGCTTAAGTGATTGATCTTTGATTTTATTGACTCAGTAATTGTGAAGGCAAGTAGTGGCCCGAGGTATGTCGTTGGGTGTCGCAGTAAAGTTGACAAAGAAAAACTAACAGCTGGAACGCGTGTTGTTTTGGATATGACTACCTTGACTATCATGCGGGCTCTACCCAGAGAAGTAATTATCATCCGATTATTTGTTAAAAGTTTGACACTTTATTTGGCTACTCATGAACATTCTTTTTGAAGGTTGATCCGGTTGTATATAACATGCTTCATGAAGATCCTGGTAATGTTAGCTACTCAGCCGTTGGAGGACTATCTGATCAAATCCGAGAGCTTAGGGAGTCCATTGAACTGCCTCTAATGAACCCTGAGCTCTTCCTTAGGGTGGGGATCAAACCTCCCAAGGTAATTTTTATATGTTGTTGGTGTTCTTCATATTAACCTGACGCTTATTAGAAACCTAGAAACGTAGAATTTTATATACAATTTTTCTTCTCTTATTTTATTTAAATTGTTCCAGGGTGTTCTTCTGTATGGACCTCCGGGAACAGGGAAGACATTGCTAGCCAGAGCAATTGCTAGCAACATAGATGCTAACTTTCTTAAGGTTAATTATTCTATTCTGTAGCAACTTGTATATCACATTATAAGTTTTCTTGCTGCTTATTGTGGTACTCATTTCTTTGAATAAGACTAGAATCCTTTTTAGTTGTTTCCAACTTATCTTTAATACTGGATACTATTATTCCTGGTGTAGGTTGTATCGAGTGCCATTATTGACAAATATATCGGTGAAAGTGCAAGATTGATAAGGGAAATGTTTGGTTATGCCCGTGATCACCAGGTAGGAGCTTGAATATTACTTCTAATTTTAACATTAAATATTCCTATTCAGAAACATACTTATTGTGTTGACTTTGTGTCTAGCCATGTATCATTTTTATGGATGAGATAGATGCTATTGGTGGACGGCGTTTTAGTGAAGGGACTAGTGCAGACCGAGAAATTCAGCGAACACTCATGGAGTTGCTTAATCAGTTAGATGGGTTTGATCAGCTCGGAAAGGTATGTAGGTTTTGGTTGAAATCAAGCTTTATTTTTTTGGTTTGGTCATAACAAACAAATGTAAACACATTTATCTAGTCATGCTTGTACGAACTGATAATGCCATAAAAGTAGATCATATCTTGGCATGGATGATGGATGTCATTTGTTTCATTTCACAGGTGAAAATGATCATGGCAACCAATAGGCCTGATGTACTGGATCCAGCACTTCTCCGCCCTGGGCGACTAGACCGCAAGATAGAGATCCCATTGCCCAATGAGCAATCAAGAATGGAAATTCTCAAAATTCATGCTGCTGGGATAGCCAAACATGGGGACATTGATTATGAGGCAGTTGTGAAGCTTGCTGAGGTAAGCATGAATATAATTATATTTATAATAAAAACAGGGCGACTCCAAGCCAACAAGGCTCCCCACTTTGTGAGGGTCGTGGGTTTTTTGCGTGTTTACACGACTCAAACCCGTGACCTTTGGGTTACAAAGGAGCTACCTTTCCGTTCCGCCAAGGCTTGCCCTCATTATATTGTATTTATATCAAAATATTTTGTTAGATGCTTTCCGTGAAAGATTTGATGCATTGTCTTCATTTCAGGGTTTTAATGGAGCTGATCTCCGTAATGTCTGCACTGAAGCTGGGATGTCTGCGATCCGTGCTGAGAGGGATTATGTCATCCATGAAGATTTCATGAAGGTACGTGTTAAATAGAGTACTGATGTTATACTCGATTAAAAAATGATGATTAATGAGATGGAAATGTGGCTTGAACTACATGGGTTATGGTCTCGGTAATGTAGCATGAAATCAATAATGGTCATCCTGAAAATTATGGAATTCAATAATGTGATTGGTCGTGTTTCGGGTTGTCTGTTTCATGTTGTTCTAGGTCACAATCTGTGTAGGAGGTGCCTAACCATGCACCTGAAGAAAGCATCTAGATACACATCATATGCTTTATTTTGTTTACTAGGGAAAAGTAATTAGTTTAGATTTTACAAGGATTTACGAGCTAATAAATTTCATAAGTAGAATGGCTTGGCTCGGTTTGTCTCCTAGGGGGGTTCGACTACCGACACTCTTAAACGTTGTCGAACCCTAGACCTCTCAAGTAAGAGAATGATAGTGTGTTACTAAAGTCAAAGTGGTGTCATATATTTGGTTCTGTAGCCTACAGTGTGTTGCTTGGCGATGTTTTGGCACAGAGCATAATCTTTTTTGGTATCTTGATTCTAAGTGTGTTATATTTTTATATTTCAGGCTGTACGGAAACTGAATGAGGCCAAGAAACTCGAATCTAGTGCCCACTACAACGCAGATTTTGGGAAAGAATGAAACCGAATTTGAACTTTGAACCTACCCGAAGAGTTAATTAAGAGTAAAAACTGCAATCATGTGCTGGCTGTTGTGCTCAATTTTCTTGATGAGATGTGGGGTTGGTGGGGATGGTGGTACCGCAACCTGTATTTGTCTTAGTGTGACACCCGTTGGACCTTCCATCGAAAATAAAGGCCTTAAAACGGCAATAATGGACGGAAGTTCTAACGGAGTTGTTCAAAAAAAAAAAACTATTGCTTCATATTATGACAAATTCATGGATCAATACTCATGAATTTTTAGTTTGGCGATTAAGGCTCTAGTTTGACTAGTGCTTCAGTTTTGCCGATCGAAATTAAACTGCCTTTTCATATTAATTCTTTCTTGCACTTCTCTCGCAGGCCTCGAAAATTCTCTCTAGACCGGAGACGGTTCAAATCGTCAAACTGTCTCAAAGTTAGGGTACAAGAAACTTGGCAAGTCCCTCACCCTCCAGAGACGATTCTGACTCATCAAGTGCAACAATTTGTAAACTACAAGACTAAAATTGTGAAATTTAAACACACTGATTACGATCAAAGTAGCGAAAACCGTGATCTGATCTGCCATATCCTATAACGGAGACGTAAAAAAGGGACCATTTTTTGTTTCATATCATTCATCAAACAAATTGCAATATCATATCATTCATTGGACACATTGCAATTACACAAACTCGATTTTGGTACCATTTCACCAGACATGAGAAGCTACAATAAAGTGACAGTCGAGCTGAGCGTTGCCAAGATCTAGCTGAATTAACTGGTCACTTGGACGTTTCAAACTTTTAACACCTCGTTACAAGATAGCATTCTGTTCTTATTGTGCATCTGGAATTCCTTTGTGTTCCACTTTTCAGGCAATATGCTCTGCCAAACTAAGAATCTTGACATGCTTCTTCTTCCTCAACTCATGCGGGACAGGTCCAAATACTCTAGTCCCGATCGGCTGCCCTTGCTTGTCCACAAGTACCACAGCATTGTCATCAAACTTGACCTCACTCCCATCACAGCGGCCTCGCTGCATGGCAGCACGAACAACCACACCATACACAACCTTTCCTTTCTTCACTTTTCCATTGGGATGGGCCTCCTTTACTGATGCAACAATGGTGTCTCCCAATCTTGCCCCCTTCTTATTTGCCTTCAAAGCTTGTATACACATCACCTTCTTTGCCCCTGAGTTGTCCACGACTTTCAGAACAGTCCTCATCTGTATGAAGGTCCTTTGCTGCTGTAAAAGTGCACCAAACAAAAACCGACAACTACGAATCAGTCTCATGCCAACACTAAGTCATAAACGAGTCCTCAATTTGAGGTATTTCGCAAAAAATGAAGATAAACACAAGAAACAGTAAGCAGAACTTGGAATTAGCCAACAGATGCCTGTGTTCAACAATTGTCCTCGGCAATTCCACCAAGACTCTCCATTTAAGCCTGTCAAAACTAGATTTCTTCCTATGAATCTTCTAAACGGCTCTACAAATGGTACCAATCCAACTCTACGAGAATCTCATAATCCTCTACAACCTAAAGTAGTCAAGATTTAAAACCTGTAAAATGTTATTATTTTCTAAGTAGAGGTTATAATCTTCAAACAAATATCAAACAAACACACTGACCTGAGATAAGAAAGTGCTGCTTGCCATCTCATGTGATGAGCTCAATAAGCCAGACAAGTTGTTGCCGAGGCCCCCCAACAATGAACGACCAACTGGATTCGTTTCCAGCAGATTGAATGGATTGCAGTGAGTAAATGGTACGCAAATAATTGTAGAACATAAACAAAAAACGCTTAAACTTAATCCAGGAAAATGAGAAAATTGTGCCACTGCAACATAGCAATATTCTAAGACACGAATTATACAGCTCACACAATGAAACACAAGACAAGCAGACGAAGGATGAAAGGTGTGGCATCTTTTCAGATGCACGCTCAACTATTTTACATTTGTTATCATGCAAGGTGAAAGCAGTCAATGGATTTAGAATGTAACAGTTGAACAAGAAACAAATGACGTACCCCGTGAACACTTTGAAGCTAAACCTGCTGCCATTCCTCAACACTCAGCTTTTACTCTCAACCAAATTCAAAATCTTCTTTTATGCGCTCTTCAACTGTGCAGAAAATGTTGTTAGACAAATCCTCAAAATAACTGGAAGCTCAATCGGTTAAGGCCCGGAAAATAAACACACCAATTTCAAATTGCTTGAAATAAACAAAAACCCATAAACCCAGAAGAAGACGCAACTCAACCATTTCACAGGGAGTGGCTAATACAACCCCAAATCATGACAACAGATCTGCTAATTCAAACAAGCGTTGGAAGAATTGGTGCCCCATTTTCTCTAACCAACCAGTAAAACTCGAACCCAATCGCTATGGAGCCTACCAAGTTCAAAGAACCCCAAATCTTCCAATTCTACCTTCCAATTGTCCAGTTCAACATTTCAATCTTCTAACAAAAAAAGAATACTCGAAATAAGCAGAAATAGAGGTTGAGAGAGAAGCAAATTTACCTTTTGGTGGTGAAGAGTGTTCGAACCAGGTGCGAGGGAGAGGAGAGAGCGGCGCCAGAAATTCAGAGAGAGGGCAGAATTGTCAATGAAAGTTTTGTTAATTGACACGGTTGATCCCGAAAAGCGCTCTTTCGTAAGGAGTAGGCAGGGCTGCTTCTGTTTTTGCTGTGTCATGGACTCATAATTTTAAAAGGAAAAAAAAAACACTTCTTATTTTATTGGGTTAATCTTAGTTTATTATTTTGAAGGTTTTTGGTTTTCAACATTTGTCATATGAAGTTTTTTTTCATCCAGTCTAGTATCTAAAGTCATAATTATAGACCATTTTCATACATCCATTAAGTTTTTCGTTAGAATTTTCATTAAATGATGATATGGCGTCCACGTGGACAATGATTGTGCACTACGTGTCAATATGGGCCCACTTGAATATTAAAAAAATTAAAATAAAAAAGAATTTACCCACCAGTCTCCTACATCACCCCCTTCCATCTCTTCTCTCCTCCGAAACCCCCACCCTCCCTTCTTTCCTCTGCAACCCACAACCACATCTCCTACCTCACCTCTGTTAGTAACCCAGATTCTGGGTTTGACCGTAACCTACAAAAATGGGGGAATACGCAGAGGAAAGGGAAGCATAATTGAACTGTGTAAAATATTAATTTTCCATATATGAAAGGCCTCACTGAGTGTGTGAATGCCAACTTAGCACAAAATACAAAAGTTCATCTACTAACTTCACTACAATTTCCCTTATTAAAAAAAATAATATTAAAAATTAAAAAAAAAAACCCAAATTCCTTTACAATTAACCCATTCATTACAATTTCGTCCCATTACTTGTGATCAAGGCAATCATTACAATAGGATCATAACAATAGTTGAACACTAGCTAAAGCACCTTGGGAATGAGCAGAGACAAACCATCTTCCCTTATTTGAGGCAATGTTGAATGTAGAATTCCATTGTTGCCCAGTTGCTCTTTAGACAACTTACATGAAAGACTGGATGGATTTTCCTATTCACAGGAAACCTCAATTTATAAGCTATCTCACCCATCTTCTCAATCACTTCATAAGAGCCATAGTATCTTGGCTGCAATTTATGAAAATTGTGGGGTGCTAAGGACTGCAACTGGTATGGAACTAACTTCAAATAAACAAAATCTCCAACTACAAACTGCTTCTCACTTGTTCTCTTATCAGCCTGCACCTTCATTCAGTTTTGAGCTAGTTCCAAATTAGCCTTAAGCACAATTAGGACTTTACCCCTTTCTACCAAGCTTTGTTCCACAGATTCCACATTAGTACTCCCAGTCTCATATTTTTGTTGTTGATAGATCTGACATTCAGCAATGAATTGCTTGATGTTCTTCTTTATTCCTCGCCAATAAATCATTTTCTTCAGCCTGTGATAAGTCTTCATAACTCCTTGATGTCCAGCAGCATGAGTAGAGTGATATTCTGCCATGAGTTTGCCTCTCCACTCAGATTCAGGGCAGTAATTCTCTTCTTGTAACGCAAAAAACCATTCTCAATGGTGGACTTTACAAGTGTAGAACTAAAGCTACCAATATTAACCCCTTCCATGACTTCCCATTTCTTCTTTGTAATCCATTCATCATGTTCATTATACCTTCTTAGGTCATCTAACCAACCACCATAAGGGTATGAAATAAAGATACACTCAAGTGAATGATTGGTGGCAAGTTCTTGAAGTTGGGGAGGCTTATTGTACTCTAGAGAGGGCATCTGCAACAACATTATCATGCCCAAATTCGTATTGAATTTCATAGTCAGAGCCTAGAAGCTTAGAAACCCACTTTTATTGCAATGATGTGGTAGCCCTTTGGTTCAAGAAATACTTAAGACTATTGTGATATGTCTTAATAATGAAATGCCTTCATTGGAGATAACTGTATCATTTCTTAACTGCATATATTATGGCAATTAGTTTTCTCTCATAGGTGGACAATGCTTGATTTCTAAGACCTAGTGATTGACTGGGGAAGGCAATGGGTCTCTTGCCTTGTTGTAATACTGCTCGAATCCCACATCCAGAAGCATCACACTCGATTTCAAAAAGCTTAGGGAAATCAGGGAGTGCTAAGACCTGTGGAGAAACCATAATGTCCTTGAGTTTTTCAAATGCTAATGTAGCTTTATTGTCCCATTAGAAGCTGTCTTTTTCTGGTAAGATTGTATAATGGCTGACAAATTCCCTCATAGCCAAGAATGAATTTCCTATAGTAGCATGTCAAACCAAGGAAGCCTTTTAACAATTTTAACCTTCTCAATCACTTCATAAGAGCCATAATATCTTGGCTGCAATTTATGAAAACTATAAGATGCCGGAGATTGCAATTGGTATGGAACTAACTCTAAATAAACAGAATCCCCAACTTCAAAGTACCTCTCACTTATTCTCTTATCAGCTTGCACCTTTATTCAGTTTTGAGCTAGTTCCAAATTAGCCTCAAGCATAACTAGGACTTTATCCTTTTCTACCAAGCTTTGTTCCACAAATTCCACTTTAGTACTCCCAATCTCATAAGTAGCCATGTGTGGAGGACGGTATCCATACACCAATTCAAAAGGAGTGAATTTTGCAGAGATGTGGTAAGAACTGTTAAAGCACATTTCAACCCAAGCTAACTATTTAACCTAACTACTAGGTTGTCCTACCACAAAACACCTTAAATAAGTTTCTAAACACATGTTCATCACTTCAGTTTGCCCATCACTTTGAGGGTGATATCCATAACTTATGCACAATTTAGAGTTTTTCAATTTAAAGAACTCCCTCCAAAATGTACTAATAAAAATTAGATCTCTATCACTAACTATGGTCTGGGGCATTCCATGCAGTTTAAATATGTGATCAATGAACAACTGAGCAACACTAAAGGCTGTATAAGTGTGCGCTAAGGCTACAAAGTGTGAATACTTAGATAACCTGTCAACTACAACCATTATCACATATTTCCCTTTGCATAATGGTAATCCTCCTATGAAGTCCATACTTATGTTAGTCCTAACTTTGCTAGGAATTAGTAGGGGTTTCAGCAATCTAGGAGGTGAAATGTTCTCATACTTCTATTGCTGATAAATCTGACATTCAGCAATGAATTGTTTGATGTTCTTCTTCATTCCTTGCCCATAAAACATCTTCTTAACCTATGATAAGTCGTCACAACTCCTTGATGTCCAGCAGCATGAGTAGAGTGATATTTTGCCATGAGTTTGTCTTTCCAATTAGATTCAGGGCTAAGAGTAATTCTCTTCTTGTAACGAAAAAAACCATTCTCAATGGTGAACTTTGCAAGTGTTGAACTAAAGCTACCAATATTAACCCCTTCTATGACTTCCCATTTCTTCTTTGCAATCTACTCATCATGTTCATTATACCTTCTTAGGTCATCTAACCAACCACCATAAGGGTATGAAATAGAGATACACTCAAGTGAATAATTGGTGGCAAGTTCTTAGCATTGGGGAGGCTCATTGTACTCTTGAGAGGGCATTTGCAACAACATTATCATGCCCAAATTTGTATTGAATTTCATAGTCAAAGCCTAGAAGCTTAGAAACCCATTTTTATTGGAATGGTATGTTAGCCCTTTGGTTCAAGAATTCCTTGGAGATAACTCTATCATTTCTTAACTGCATAGATTATGGCAATTAATTCTCTCTCGTAGGTAGACAATGCTTGATTTCTAGGACCTAGTGATTGACTGGTGAAGGCAATGGGCCTTTTGCCTTGTTGTAAAACTGCTCCAATCCCACATCCGGAAGCATCACACTCGATTTGAAAAGGCTTAGAGAAATCATGGAGTGCTAAGACCTGTGGAGAAACCATAATGTCCTTGAGTTTTTCAAATGCTAATGTAGCTTTACTATCTCATTAGAAGCTATATTTTTTGGTAAGATTGTATAATGGCTAACACATTCTCTCATAGCCAAGAATGAACTTCCTATAGTAGCATGTCAAACCAAGGAATCCCCTTAACAATTTTAACATTCTTAGGTATAGGCTAGTCCCTAATTGCTTACAACTTAGCTGGATCAGCTTTAACATTTTCTCTAGATACAATGTGACCTAGGTATTCAACTCTACTTTGGCCCAGACAACATTTTGACTTCTTGAGGTAGAGTTAATGGTGCTGCAATATGTCAAACACCACTCTCAGGTGTTGCAGGTGCTTACTCTAACTTTTACGATAAATCAGCAAGTCATCAGAGAAAACTAATACAAATTTCCTAACATAGGGCTTAAAAAGATCATTCATCAAATTCTAGAAGGTTGCTGGAGCACTAATTAGGCCAAATGGTATAACCAAGAATTCATAATGGCCTTCATGGGTTCTAAAAGCTATTTTTTCTATATCTATAGGGTGCATCAATATTTGATGATAACCGGACCTCAAATCCAATTTTGAGAAGTAATTGATACCAAATAGCTCATCTAATAGATCATCAGTTAAAGGGATGGGGTGCTTATCCTTGATTGTAAAGGCATTAAGCTCCCTGTAGTCAATTCACATGCGTCATGTCTCTTCCATCTTTTTCACTAGTAGCATAAGGAATGAAAAGTGACTATGACTTGGCCTGATAAACCCTGTAGCTAATAAATCTTGCACAGCTTTTTCAATTTTAGTTTGTTGTAATGGCCCATAATGATAAGGCCTAATATTATGAGGTTTGGCTCCAATTACCAATGGTATATTGTGGTCATGAGCCCGGGAAAGAGGCAATTAAGAAGGTACCACAAAGATCTCTTCAAAATCACCAAGGAGGTGTTGAGCTTCTTAGAGCTGATTGGCAGCAAGATCACAAACCTTAATTCTCTTATCCTCCATAGCATATAAAAACAATCCTAGATTGGAATTGTATATTTCCTTATCTAGGTGTTGTAGGGAAAACTCTTGAATCAAATGGTTCAATAGGAGGATTGTGGTACAATTTGTACTTCTGTTGGTTCTTGGTAAACCCCATGGTGAGCAACTGAAAGTCCTAAAGCACTGGGCTAACTGTGGATAGTCATTGAACTCCGAAGATGTCACACCCTAATCCGAAAATAA